AGCAGTCGAAGCCAGCCGAATACAGGCAAAAAATAACCAGCAAGACCTCAACTGTCCCACGTTTGACGTCACCAAAGTGGCGACTTGTGTGCTACCCGGTTTACCAGAGGAGCACTCGTGTGTTCTGCCAGGCTGCGTTGTTCTCTTGTCTGCCGAACAGGCTTCGGTCGCACATCGCTTAAAAGAACAGCACCTGAAGGTTGCTCTAATTAACGGAGATTTATCACGTACCTATCGCCATCTTGGCTTTAATCGGCCAGCAGGCGTACAGCGTGTGAGTGACCGCTCGCATCTGTCAAGTTCAGGTGAAGAGGAGGAGTGGGTGGAAAAGGTTGTGACACTTCTGCTGAACCTGGAAGTGAACCTGATACTAGTCAGTGGGCTCGTTCGTGAAACAGTGATTCAACGCTTTTGTAGACATCATGTGCTCGTGGTGGAAAAAGTGAAGGCTTCCATTTTGAGTGCGTTCGGTGATGCGACGGGAGCTGTTCCGGTGACCTATGCTTCACAGTTGAGTCAGCGCTGTCTGGGCGCTGGGGTGAAAGTTGCGGTATGGAGGGACCTCAGCAGCCATGGGAGGAAGCCTTCAACAGCTGTGAATATTTCCACTGGTGGGAACAGCAAATTGGTCACAGTGATCCTCTCAAGCGGTGTCCATGGCAAGCTGCAGGCGCTGGAGGACCAGTTTTGGGCATGCGCTTATCGTTTACACCACGTGCTGAAAGACCGGGTCCTCCTGCCTGGTGCTGGAGTGACAGAACTGCTGTGTGTTCATCACCTTCGAAAGCAAGCAGAGCACCATGTCAAACGCCAAAGAGAGACGGATGGAGACTCTGTCCAGCAAACCACAGCAGGAGCAGCAGCTAACCCTTACAGGGGCGAAGTGTTGCAGCTCATGGCAGATGGCTTAATAGATTACATATCCACTGTAATGGTTAACTCTGGGCGGTTTTCAAAAGTCCGAGCCTGGACTGCCGTGAGCCGACAACTGCAGGACTGTAACGGGAGTCTAGCTGCAAAGTTCTCCCAACTTTTCTTGGGGGGTGAAGAAGATAGTGCAGTCTCCTCAGCAGCAGTAAAAATCTATGATAATGTGAGTGTGAAGCAGGAAGCGTGGAGGAAAGCCTTAGACCTGGTTTTCCTGGTCTTACAGGCTGATGCAGAGGTCATCACAGGCATTGAGCAAAAAGCTGAAGGTGCACAGGGAACTCTGATGCGGTTATGACCTTCATGCTGCATCTTGGGGAATTAACTGACTGCGAAAATGTGTTTTAAAATGTGTTTTTAATGACTGGTACAAAGTGAAAGAAGAATAAAGTGTTTTTATATCTCATGTTTTTGTCATCAGTACATAGTTAAAGACCAATTTTCCTTTTCAGTGGAGCAATGCTACCTACTTGGTACCACTTGGGGGAGACAGATGATTGTGTGACACTGCAGTCTGTCTGACTCTTTCATCCAAGCTGATTCACATTAATACAATCTGTTTACTTAAAGGAGTGCAAGGGTGAGACTCGCAAATATTCTCATTTCAGACATCCACTGAATGAAATTAAGATAAAAAACAAAGAAAGGAGCAAAACGAGGGGTGAAATGTGTTAAAAGATATTTATCTGATTGCCCCTTTAACCTTTGCCATCCTGACCTCCAGGTATTGAAAGACGAGAACAGTGTCTTGAGAAAACATACATCCAGTGTAAGGTCAGTAGTAATATATTTCCATATTTTTATTTTATTTAACTTTTCCTCTTAGTTATTATATTTTGTCTTGAAGGTGCTGCACACTATTCTCATAGGAAATCCCCTAAAGTTCAGTTTATTTGAATTATTAACCAAGCCTGACTTAGCTGACACTACTTGTACGTGGCCTTGCACACACCTTGTCTTCGTGCTCTGTTCAGCCAGGAAAACCAATGGTACATGTCCAAAACCACAATTAAATTTCCCTCTTGTGGAGCATGGGAGGAATTTTGTTTGCCAGTATGATTTTTAGTCTTGGTACACTTCCGTTATGATATTTGCCTACGCTTCATTATGTGTGTACAGCCTGGCCAGCACTGTTCACATTGGACATTCCCCCTGCCAACTGCGGTTTTATGACCTGCTCTGTCTAAAAGGGAACGGCTGATGGAGAAGGAACGCCTCCGGGCGAGTAAATGGTTTTGGTTAAGTCTTATTAGGGACAGTTCAGAAGTGAACTAAAGGTAATTCAAAATCCAAAGGTGATTTTAGTTTGAATTCGAGAAACTCTAACTCTAAACTCTGTCTTCTAACATGTTCCTTTCTACATGATCATTGAAAGGTCACAGAAATATGACCAAGCGACTATGCTCTGACCCTTGCATTTCTCAACACTGGATGCTTGAAGTTGGTTCAACCTGGAATTTGGGCTCATTTTGGATCAGTGTACAAAAATATAAGAATATGATTTGAAAACCTTCAATCCAGTCTGAAAATGACTATTTCAAAGAGAAATGTCTACTACTTGGAAAAATAAAAAACCCCAAAACAATGACAGTTGACATGAAAGTAAAGCGTACTCTTTTTCCTATGCTCGCATTGTATTTCAGAGGTGCTAGTTGCATCGACACGTGAGACCTTCCATTTCCTGTGAGGTCAGAGAGCTTCTTGACGCGTTCTAAAAATAGTTCAATAAAATAAAAACGTTACAAAGGCTTTTACGGTGGAGCAATAACAACCTTGACTCAGGCATCACTCAGCAGCGGGGCGACCGAGGGTCCACGTTTTACTAAGTTTACCTTTCACTGATGCAAGCAAGAATTTATACATTACCTTAAAAATGTAAAACCTAAAGAGGTGGGTGAGATGATCCAGTTATATTTGTGCTACCTGACAGCATGGACAGTTCATTTCACTTTGACAGTGTCACCATATTCAAAGGTAGTCTCAGTAACTGGCAAATCAACAAAAAACCTGTTTGCATATTGAGATATTTGATTTGTGTATATAAAATAAATGTTTTACATAAAAATAAAAAAAATAAAATATATATATATATATATATATACTTCAAAATAAAAGTCGGATTTAAACTGATATTCATAAAATTTAAATTGCAAGAGGTACGGAACGGGTACTTACATTCTTACATTCTTACATACATACATACATACTAGAATGTGTCACTAATTTATTTTTAGAAAGAAGCAAACCATAAATCTTGTTTGTGCCACATACTATTGTACTATTGATGTTGTAGACCAACCAGTTTACTGTTGCAGTATATACTGTTAGTCTAATCACTCCATTTAGCTAGCGACTTTTGCTGATGGAGTAATAGTGTAATAGTGTAGGTTGCCTGTTCTAGCATTGTTTTTGTCCATTTAAAGGCCATGATTGTTATTTGTGATGATTTGGTCTGATCTTCTATTCCAGATGCTGTTTCAGAATTCAATCTACTAACAGCAGTAGTGCTGCCACACTGGGCAATGCATCATATAGAGCATTTACTGTATATTTGGTTCACTAGACTCTGGAGTAAAGAAGAACCCCCATTTTACTCTAACAGGTAAGCAGTTGCCTCTTTCCTTACACTGTCCTAAATATTTTACCTTATCGTGCTACTGACTACAGCCTTAGAATAAGCATACTGTATGAACATTACAAATAATCAATAATAAGTCAATTATACAGTAATTGACAATGGGAGTGAAAAAAAAACATCAATCCATCAGCATTAATCAGGTTGAAAAGACCTCTAAAGGAGCATTTCAACCAGGGGACGCTGAAATCACTGAGGCCCATAATACTTAATATAATATTCATCCTTGCCATTGTTGAATGTGATAGGTCAACATCAAACAAACCCTAACTGGAAAGACCTTGACGAACATTCACAGGCCCTCTTTTTAGTCCATTGGCTGTTTTGTCTTACTGGAAACTGACATCTTGCAAAAAGGGAAACTTTTAGCATGGAATTTAGTGACAGGAATTTTCTGAAAATTTCTGGTCTATCAACAAAATGTTCCAAAGAAGACAGAAGTATACAGTATACGCCTAAAGAGTAAGTCTGTGATTGAAAAGGTCAATTGTTCAAACCCGGCTGTGGAAGGTGTATCAATAATCTATCGGTGTCAGTACAATGCTCTGTAATTATTATCATTCTTACATTTGTATTGTACTGTATAGGTGGGGCTCAGTAATGGTATACTTGGCACACTTCCTTTGAGGATTTTGCCCAAACAAAATATGTGCATTCAGCAATCCCACTCCACATAAATATTGGATAGAGTGTCTTTTTGGAGAGCTCTCGATTGATACAGTTCCAGGAAATGGATCCCGAGGATGCCCAAACCATCTGAACCCCTCCTGTGGTTGGACTCCTATTTTGACTTCAAGTCTTACAACTATTCAAGTCTCCGGCCTTAGTCACCCGTATGGCCTGGCTGGCCTGGTTGGATGTCAGACGTTTCACTGACCAGTTTCGGGGAGGGTCACCAACATGACGTCAACCGAGAGCACAGCTGACTTTCTACTGATCCAACAGGAGTTTCAGATGTGGTTACTTTTAACCAGAAGCCCAGACCAGTGAGTGCCCATTCTGACAAATGGATGGCCTTGTTGGTCCTAAAGTCGAAAAAGAAACAAATCCTGCAATAATAACTCCCATCACTGATCCTCCATTCTGAGGAAGTTGGAAATAGCAATTAAAATCACTCATTCGTGATGTAGGCTTTTTCATCTGCCAGTCTGCTGGCATTTCTACTTCACATTGTTGTGTTTTACCTATGAATAGCACCAAGTGATTCATTAAAAAGCCGGCTGTGCTGGCTTTCTTTTTACGTCTCTTTTCTTGCTCTTAAACAGACTGCATGAATGAAAGCACTGGTTCTGTTCACATGCTGGCAGCTGCTCTTTGCGCTCTTAAGGGGTTTCGGTGACACAGTCCAAGTTGCACGTCCCCCTCTGCTTGCCCTCCTCTCCTTTCTTGACTTCTGCTGGGTTGGCTGGTTAAATCCGTGAGCATTAGTGGGCGTGAGCATGTGTGTTGGTGCTCCTAGGGCGCATGCGAACTGAGGCCCAAAGGGGAAAGCCTTCCACACAGATCTAAGCCAGCTGCCCTGATTTAAACACTTCATTGCAAGAAGAGTGGAAGAGAGGGGGAACCCGAATGCATCCCCCCTACCAGTGTGCTCAAAGTACACTGGGAAAGCAGCTGCCAGCTCTACAAACAACAGACGAGCAGCTACAGATGGTAGATTTAGACGTTTGCTGTTAGGTGGAAGCGTTTAGGAGTCCTTCTGCCTCACATTGACAGGACTGAGAGGGCACTTGCTGCCCTGAGAGGGGGGTGTTCCAGCAAACTGACCTCTGGGGTTAAGCAGAATCAGTTTGTGTGAAGCCCTGTGAAGGAGGGGAGGAGGGAACAGGCAACGGTTAGTGGGAGGTGGGAGGCCACAGTGGGGCTCCTGCACTGCTCAAGAAGGAGACGAAGCAGTCGCCGGAAAGCGGGGAAAGAGGAGGAGATGGCCACGGGAGAAATCACAACACTTCCCTCCACACCTGAAGACGGCGGCAGTGGCGGCTTTCCTCCCGGGAGCTTTAAGGAACCCAAAAGGCTGTACTGTAAAAACGGGGGCTTCTTCTTGAGGATAAAGTCTGACGGGGGAGTGGATGGGATCCGGGAGAAGAACGACCCCCACAGTAAGTGCTTCCAGTCCCCCTCTTCTTTGCTTTGCAAAGCACACAAAGCTTCTTTATGTTCTTTTTAATGCAACAGGGAAGTAGGAGTGAAACAAAAAAAAAGCAATCATGGAGGAACGATGTGAATTTTCCAGCCTACTGAGGTTCATTCTCCACTTGTAAACACCAAAATGTGCGTAGGTCTACTTCTGGAAAGTGTAATAACTCCAGTTCAAGAGACGTACACTTCAAAGTTTCTTGATCAATGGGAACTTTGATGGAATATGTTTTTAGTAAATGTAGATCACCATGCTGAGTCACAGCCATATACACTGCTCACTGTGTGGTTTACGTCACACAAGACAGCATAACATGGAGATAAAAGCCAGAAGAAGTGTATTCCTGATTTAGAGTCCCTGTCAGTGTTTGGGGCGAAGGAACATTTGCCAGTAATACATGTAAACTATAACAAAATATACTTTTTACCACTCATCAGCATCACCAATCAATCAGTATGTATATAGAAAGTGAAAGGAGTTTTAGGCTTTCCTAATGTTTCAGTCAACTATTGAAGTGGAGACATTAACGTGTTAGGCCTGGGCAACTGTGGTACCCGTCAGTGCCTCTATCACTCATTACTTTTAAGTGTGTTACATCAGTAAGTAGGAGGGGAAGAGTGGGATAATGAAATTGGGTTTTTTTCCAGAAGAAAATGTGTTTGGAAGTGTATTGCCCAAGATGCAGTGTGACATTTTGTGCGCCCAAACAAATGCCTGATGTGGAACCAGTTCAAGGACAGAGGAGCTATTTTTAGAATAATTTAATTACTTACAGTATTTGTGAAATGAACCAGGAGATTAACCTTGTTGAGATGATGTGGTTTTTCTTAAAAAAAAAAAAAAACTACTTCCTGTTATTCTGGATATCAAACACTTGGTATGGGCTCAGAAGGGAATATAAACATAATGAGTCATAAAACAGGAATCAGTATTAATCATTTAGCTTTTTACCGTAATGGTTTCTTACAGTTAATGTGACCTGAGCTGTGCTTCATCAATGGTTCTTTTGTTAAGGCTGCAGTAGTCCTGCCAACCTTTTGGACAACTAAACATACCTGCCAGTTAGAATTGGAACTTATAGTGAAAAAAGTTACCCAATATATCCAAGGATCCTCAAGCTGTTTTTTGTGCTTATGTAGATGGGACTCTTCTCCATCACAGTCGTGTTCTTAACTTCCAATCCCAAAAGTTTCTGGGGACAATATTGTCACAAATTGCATCGACCCCAGGGCACAATTACAGATAGGACCACACTGAACCAGAGAACAGTTGGGGGAAAGGTTTCCTATATTCCCAATAGCTGTGAGACATGATATGCCCAGTAAACATTGAACACACCACAGCACACTCACACCAATTATACATTTCTTTCAGGGAAGAACACCTCTTTGATCTGGGACATGATTCATTCAGATGTTAAAGCGTAACTTTAGACAGATGTGTGTCTATCTGAAGTCTTAATGTGGATTAATTCTAGACAGATCCCCTAATTTACCTCATGGGGCCCCTGCTTCCTTTTTGGTGGTTTGGCTTCATTCATCATGCAAAGTATGCTCTCTTGGCAAGCGGTGTGGACAAAACAAAAAATGTGGAGATGGTTTCGATACATCTGTGAGGAGGCTGTCACATGGCCAACAGGTACTGTGTGCTCAGACTGCTATCAGCCACAGGGTGATACTACTGTTCAGTTGCTGATGTGTGTTAGCTTATTGTCATCAGTGGCATCACTGGTGTTTCATCCATTAACTGCAGACAGAGCTTCAGCCAGTGTTAGCCAAAACATGGAGGAAAGCCACAACAAAAAGGCAGTTCATTTTTCTGTGCTAGCAGGTGAAGGACCATGACCTGATGTTTGGCTATATGAAAATAAATACATACATGTATTTAGGCTCATCTTTTTTTCAATGGATCTATTGTTTCGTTTTTACAGCACATTTAGGCTACTGCATGGTTCACTCTCATCGCTCTTAATCTCGAACTACCAACACCATGCGGCAGACAAAGTTAGTTGCTAGCACGTTAGGAAGAATCTACCAGCTTAAGAGCCAGATAAAGTCCTCAGAGTTGGTGGATTAGAGTGAATGTTGGACTTACATTCATTATGTTATGATGATATGTTGTGCCGTGTACCTGTCAGCTTGTTTTGGTCGCAATGCCCCCTAGTGGCCTTAAATTGATCAAAGCAGCTTTAAGTGTCAATATATATATATATTTCTTTTTGCTCTTGACGATTAGATTCCTCTTCCTGGTTTGTACTATGAAGCACATCACCAGTTTTCCCTCCAAAATTCAACATTAGCAAGCAAGCAGTTGTTAGCACAGACTGCCATTCTTTTTGGCCATGATCGTCTCACTGGTGTCTGTTGTACTGTAGGTAAAGATGTCATATTAAAACGCCTCACGTAGTGTCTTTACTGTGATTCTTGAGTTGCTGTGTCCAGGAGTAGATTAGTTATAACAAAACTTAGAGAGTTCAGAGTGAAGCGTGCCATTGATGTAGCCATAGAATACTGTACATTCACTTACTGTTTCATTGTGATAAAATGTAGGAATCCAGTACCTAGGATATTTGATCTTTCACATAAAACACATGTATTAAACACATAAGCAAATAATATTTTCCGTTGGATTCAACATCCTGCAAGCAAACTACAAATGAGCTCTGGATTTGCTCATTTAGTTCAAATAAACTTTTGTCTTTTTCCTCAGTAAAGCTTCAACTCCAGGCGACCTCAGTGGGGGAGGTGGTCATCAAAGGGGTTTGTGCTAACCGCTATCTGGCCATGAACAGAGACGGACGACTGTTTGGAGCGGTGAGTGAATGGGATTATCATCTTTCCAATAACAAAACCTTTTTTGAAGAGGCTGTAAATGCAGTGCAGTGAAATAATCAAACAGAATTTCCTGAAAGGGTTTAAAGAGTTTTTCATGGGCTGTCCTTTTCACAAATCTGTATCCAACACTTACTGTAGAGTTCTTCCGGTTGGCTGAGAAGTAAGTTGACCCCAGTGTGCTGGCGCCAGCAGAATTGAGGCTTCAATATTTTGGAAAACAAATGTTTACCAGCCACTCCACAAGCAATCCCCCTTCAGCGAAGGGAAGTAATTAGGTTGACACTCATTCATCACAGTTACCACTATTAGACATTAGACTGGGACAAGTCTAAGTGATTCAACCGAGGCATCTCTCCCAAATCCAGTCAGTTCGACCATTTGTCTTTCTTTCCGTTCTTGAGTCTCGTCCTCGGCGCTCACACTGCCTCAGCCGCGCAGCTGTGGCCAACGGCTTGGAGTGTTAAAATCCCGATCTTAGATGACTTTGGATTTGATTTCAACCCAAGACCAATACTGCCTTTGAAATAAGCAGTAAATAAGATGCAGCTTATTTGGGTTAACACAATAATCTATATTCCCATTCCCAATTCAGTGAGAAGAGAGCACTTGGAATTCTTAATGGAATTATACCACTATGATAATTATTGTGATAATCTTCATGCAGTAGCAACAGCATAATGTTTTGATGATCACACTCCAGTGGCATCTTTGTAAAAGTCAGGCCCATGGAAACAGGATAGAGGACAGAATGTCTAAGTGTCTAGACGTTGCTTGGGGAGACCCGAGCAAGCAGGTATTTTATTGTGAATTTTTTGGGATCTCCGGGGACAACCTGAGAGTCACGGGGGTGATAGGGAAGGTGGAGGGTTGAGCAAACACTCGGACCTGGGAGACGAATACAGGCGAGACCGCCACAACATTGTTGCTCACAGCGGCAGTGGAAGTGTGAAGTGGTGGTGACTGATGTGGTTGGGTGGTTGTGAAGGCTTGTCCACAATCCATGTAATTGGCAGGAGGCATTTCCTCCTAATGAGAAGCTACAGCAGCTGCCACCCAAGGCGTCTCTCTTAACTTCTGTGTAGAAAATCATTAAAAACCCACAAAATATTATTACCATTTGTTGATTTATATGAAGATTAACATTGTAATTGCCAAATAAATGAAATCTTTTCCCCCTCTGGGCTGGACGTGACTCCAGCCTGGTCTTGCACGTCTTATTTTACATCCTGTTATATTTTTGCTATTATAATTGATGATTAAATGCAGATAAGATGAGAAGATTAGACTTATTTTCAAGATTTATTCCACCCTAAAACTTTAACAAACAACATATTAGATATATATTTTTCATGAATGTAAAATAAAAGCCTGGATACAACAATTAATTGGACACCTCTGTGTTTATCAGTGTCCTCCCTATGTCTGGGTGTGTACTAACTTGGGTGACTAATGGTTCAGTGGTCTTCCAACTGCAGAAATAAAATAAAAAAAATCAGCACACATGAGCACCTCCACTGCTGTTATGCTTACTGTTGCACATTTTCAGTACTGATGGAGGATTATTGTTACTGATTTTGCATAATGAAGTGAACAAAAGTAGCCCTAGGTGGTTGTTACAGTTGAAAGAACAGGACTTTAGACTAATAGCTCCATCGCTGTGCAGTCACGGTCGACTAAAAACAGAAAACTTAAACAAAAGCCTCTTGTTGGACAGGGTGTAGAGCGGTTAACGCCCAGCGAGATTTTGGCCAGGCGTTCAGTAGTTAATGTTTTCTTCATATTCTCTACAAAGCACAATGTTAAAAACACTAAAAATAGATATGGTCAATAACAACACCAGAGCCAATTCATTTCTATCAAATTCAAGTTCATCAAAGCAATCTTTATTTGTTTATTTTAGTTTCAGGATTTGTATAAATTCTTCAACATTTTAGCCCATTCACCCCGATGTTTAATGTTTAATCATGAGTAAAAACAGAGTACAGCTGCAATAATGTCCCTGTTTATGCCTGGTTCCCTTTGAACAAATCTCTTTAGTGTATACGTGTGAAACACCTAGCAGAAATCATTCTACAACAGTCTTCTTCAAAATAAAGGTGGCATTTAGTTCGGGCTGTTTTATGTGGTAATTTAATGTCATAAAATGTCAGCATTACACATTTTCTCCCTTTCCAACAACATATATTAAACAAATCCAATCAAATATCTTTCAAATGAAATAACGTAGTTGTTGAAATGCTGCTACAAGTAACCAGATGTCCCTCAGGTGGACTTTATCCAGAAATTCATAAGCACAAATAGAGGATTATTAATATTTTGGAAGTGAACACTGAAGCATTTTATTAAGTACACTATGAATGACTTCAGCTTCTATTTGTTGAAATACAGTAAATGAGGAGGAGAGCACCGCCATACAGCATAGCCTCCACCATAATACAGACTAGTTTCACAGTTTCTTACATTTCCTCAAGCTACAAGCTACTTTATGTGTATTGGGGCGACAGGGAGTCCCAGTAGTTCTTTGTCCTGTAAGCAAAAGCCTGCAGATTTAACCCTCCCAGCAGGCCGACTCCCTGTTTAAATCTCCCGCACCCCCCCACCGTTCCTCACTGAACAGCAGAGTTACATTCAGCACAGTGAACATCAAATGAAACTTATCTGCTATTCCTCTGTGTCTTTCTCTCCAGAGACGAGCAACAGATGAATGCCACTTCTTAGAGCGGCTTGAGAGCAACAACTACAACACCTACCGCTCCAGGAAGTACCCAAACATGTACGTGGCACTGAAGCGGACTGGCCAGTACAAGTCTGGAAGCAAAACTGGACCGGGTCAAAAGGCCATTCTCTTCCTTCCAATGTCTGCCAAGTGCTAGTCTGGGATCTGGTTGACAGATATTAAGGTCTTATTGGCAGCAACAATGAAGAAGATGTGACGGCAATGTAGACAAAGCGTTCCATCAACATTGCCCAAAATAGCTGTGATGCTTTCTGACTGTTATATCCTAAGAGTTAGTTTTTACCCTCAACATGTCTGCTCTTACTCAGTTTCACTTTCAAACAGTGCTACACATTCACACCTGGCTGCTTCCCAGAAAAATATACCAGACAAACCAACTGCTAAACTAGGGCATCTAACTGGAGCCAGGCGTCTCGTTCAAGTGCACCCCTACAGCATTAATAGTTCATTTTACCCACACACATCTCCCCTCTCTGGCTGAGGGATTTAAAGCGGAAACCTTCTGATCACGAGTGTGCTTCCTACCGCTCAGCTTCTGACTGCGCAAGCTGCCGTCTGAGTTCAGCTGCAAGATGTAGGTCAGAGCAGAATATTAATACATGTCTCCTAGATACAAGGCTTTCAGGAAATGCACTCAAATCCCACATTATTGTAACTCGCAGAGAAGGGATTGAACTGAATTTCTGATCTTGTGATACAAAATGTTTGACAAAATCAAAACTAAGCGCACTAAACACACTAAAATCAAAACCCAAGCACTACTTATACGTTATTTTCTACTTTACACTTCTCAATAGCTTACTTTAAAGGACCAGTGTGTGGGAACTCCCTCGCTTCGCTCTCTGTCGAAATACCCTATCTAGAGCCAGTGTTTGGTTTGTCCCTTCTGTGCTACTGTAGAAAGATGGCAGTTCAACATGGAGAACTTCATGGAAAGCTTCTGTAGATATAAAAGGCTCATTCTAAAAAGGTATAAAAAAAACAGGACGACTCCTGTTTTTATGTGATTATACACTAATGAAAACATACCTATGAATATTATATTCTATTTGTGACAATAGATCCTCCTAAATGTTACACAGTGACCTTTAATGGGTACAGAACAGGTTTCCTGAGCTTCTCTTTTTCTGATAGAACTGCGTTACCCTGTTGTAAGTGTATAGTTTGAGATTTCTAAAAAAGTCCAAGTTGCATGGCACTGGAGCGTAACTTATAAATACACTAATTGTTGTCAATAATGCTTAATTCAACGACAGAAAAGCAGTCAACAAAAATATGACTTTTCTTAACAGTTTTAACAAGGCAGCCAATATTAATATTGCAGCAACTAGCCACTACCATTAGCAGTCAGCTGAATCAGTGGTTAGCTTGTTAACAAGCTGAAATCTCAATACTGGTCACAAAATGACCTGTTCCCAGTTAAAAGTACAGCAGAACTGTACCTTTAAAATCAGCTGCTTGCAGCCACTGTTGCCCGACAATAGTGGAATTCCAACATGGCCGCCAAAAAGTGTTGTCACGCAGGTACCACAATTTTATAAAAACCAAAAAAGTGAATCTTGTAGTTCACAGTATTTAACCGCATTTCTGCAACAGTAACAGTGAGTGTGTGAAACACACGGCAAACATAATTCCAGTCATAAATACACTTTAAATATGAGTTATACTGACAACCATGTGTCAACAGAGCTAGCCATGATATGCTAACCCCATCAGGTCTGATGACGGGTCGCTAGGATTTTAGTGTCGGAGGAAGCTGTCTGTGGTAAAGCTGGTAAAACATCCCAGAGTAGACAGCGGGGAGCTCCTCCATGGTGAGGTCGATCTCGTGGAAGCCCCGCTCCAGGCCGTGAAGAAGAAGCCTGGCTACGCGAGAGGTGATGGGCGTGGTGTCGCCGGTCTCGGCCAGCTCGGCGAGGTCCAGCCACTCGCAGCGCAGACACTCCTGAGTGCAGAAATTGATGTCGTAGCTGAGCGGGCCGAGTCGGCAGATGATGTACATGTCCGACATGCCGAAGGCGCCGGGGTGGTTGTGCTGCTGCCGGATGCTGAGCAGGGACCTGAACTCGGAGCGAACGCCGGTTTCCTCGAACACTTCGCGAACGGCAGTGGCACCTGAGGGAGATTTATATATTAGAAATAAACGCATGTGGAAGCATTTCAAAGATCCTGACAAAAAGGAATATATTTGTGTTCCTATGTCAGAGTCACCTTGCAGACTGATATTCAGATGTGGGAAAAAGGGAAAATACATATATTTTTTGTAAAGACAAACATTTGACGCTGCTTTTTTGGGGTGGGTCATGTGTATAACATTAAAGCTGCTTCTGAAGTGTTTAAAAAGGTGAATTTGGAGATATAATTCTTTGCGTATATATCGTGCATTATTTTGAACAGTTCGAATGAATGTATCACCTTTAAGCATAATACTACAATTGAAGGATTTAGCTAGATGTACTGTATTAGTTTTTTTTTTGTTTTTCTCTGTTGAGCGTGACACTCACCGATATTCTCTCCTGGATCAGACAAGCCACCGGGGAACTTCCAAGCATTCTTTGTCTGAAATACAAGAGCAAAGTTAAACAACAATTGCGATAGATGGCACTGCTGTAAATGTATCTTAGAGTAATATCAATGTCAATCTTAAAATCTGCCAATGCCATCCCGTGGCTCTATCTTACAGCGTGGCAGCAGTTGTTTTATTTGAGATAATAACAGTAAGTAGTTGTTCCAAGGATCATCTTATGTATCTGAACTAATAATTATACAGGCAGAGAGATGTTTAATGCTCTCATCTGAGCGTCCTTTCATTTTATGTTTTATATTTAGTGCCTCACTCTGGAGACTTCTACATTTGATGCGGTGAAGTGTGTCTTCCAAAACTGTTTCACCACTTATCCTTGATATTTAATAACAGTATGCTGCTGGATAAATTATGATGTCAGTGTTGTGTATATATTTTTGTAGTTACTTAAAGAATTTTGTATACAGCGCTTCTTTTTTTTTTCCAGAAATGCTACTTCATCTTATATTTTCCTTATTTTGCAAATCCTCTCTTTGTGAGGACCACAAATGCACTACAGCATTTATTTTCATGTATTGTCAACAAAATGCTATATTTTTTGGAGCTGTTTCTAAAATGTGCTGGAAGGAAAGAAATAAAGAGATTTTGTGTAACTCTAATCAGTGTGGTTTTTCACAGTCAAACATCTCATCCCCAAGATCTGTCAGAGCTCAATGTGAAAATAATAACGGCAGAAACACTTGCTGGGAGGATGGCGGCCATATGCAAACTGTTCGCACTGCATCTACTGGGAAATGATGTGTAAATGTCATCGGACGATGGTTAAATTAAACGTTGGCGCTCATTGCATCATTCAGCTCCGCGATGGATGAAATTACCTTCGGCCCATTGGGGATCTGTCACTTATCTTTTGTACAGATGTGAGAGCGATAATGTCCTGCTTTTTCCTCAGGAAGTTCGTAACCCTTCGTGAGCTCTGAGCTGGCTCAGTCTGCCAGAGACGCTCTACTGCCAAGGGCCAGACTGTTATAAAGCCCATTTCCAGTAAACAGCTCGATGGGGAGGAGGAGGAGGAGGAGGAGGAGAGGAAGAGATAAAACACTCCCCACACGTCCAGGCCACTAACTGCTTCCCTCTGCTTCTGGACCAAAGCCATTAAGATACATTACATGCTCTTAAGATTCCCGGCTGGGGCACACATTACATGCTGTGTGCAAAAAAAAAAAAAAAAAAGGCCAGCAGACAGGCCCGCTTGAAAATCTGTCACTTATAATGTGAACTATATTTGTCATTGGATTGAGAATTTACAGTAAACGTGTTGGGCTATTTTTACTGGAACTGCTGAGACACCAAAGAGAATTAAACAGACTGCAAATTAGGGGGGTTGTTGCCCATTAATTGACATATTTAATGCCACAGAAGGATTTACATTATTTAAATCCCTAAACCTTGGCCAAATGCCATAGATTGCCCTATGGTGTCAAATGTTGCTTGCAGATAGATTTAGCTTTTAAATGTCTGTCTTTGAGATTCCACCCCGATTACAGTAGAGGAGGGCCTCCCTCTGATTTGGGGAATCAGTTGAAGACCAACAACAGCGTGGAGAAAAATGATTCATGTTGTGATAAATGGCGGTGCTGTGTCTTGCGATGCGTTATGGAAACTCTAGCAGAACCGTAATACTTTCTGTTGTGTTGTTCGGGGAGAGATCATTTATTTTCTTTCCAGCAGACATTTGAACCCTGAAATGTTTTCTTCCTCTGGAGGTTCAGCCTTTTGCAAGTTTATGGCTCTCTGACAATGAGTGATGGCACATGTGTTCATGTTGCTGTCGAGGGTTAGACTCTGCTCTTTGGAACACGACTGAGGATTGCTTTCATTATCTATGAAGCTACAGATAATTGTAGTGATTGCTTGGTTTATAAAATGTCAAAAGACAGTCAAAACAAAAAGTCCCGTTGCAACTTCCTGGAGCCCAGAATGACATCTTCCAATGTGCTGTTATGTTCAATCAGTCAAAACTCCAAAGATACAATTAATGAAATAAAACAGAAGCAGCAAATCCTCACATTTGACTAGCTCTAAGCAGAGTTTGCTTGATAGGTGATGTAAACAATGAATCAAACCTAGATTTTAGTCTTGTATTTTGTGTCTATTGACTAATGAATAATTAGAAAAAGTTTCTACACACATTTTATATTCGGTTATTTCAGAATGTGTAGTACATCATTTCCTTGTACGATACAATATGTTGCCTGTGCAGTGAAACCATCATTGTTACTGTGGTAACAGTTTGTGATGCTCAGGTAACCACTGTAACCCTGTGCTGGCATTTTTTGGTTGTTTTTCTATCTTATGTAACGTGTATAGCTGACTTGGTTTACTTTCTGTGTACAGTGTTGGTTTTGATATGCAGAATGACACAGCATTAACAGGAATTTGCTCTGATGTCACACTGATGCTAATTTTCCATAATGTTAGACTAGATGCTAATGTATGACCATGTTAGCATATCATTTGCATGTAGTTCTGTGGCTCGCGTTAGCACTTATTGGCCAGCTGTTTTGTAACCATACAGTAACTTTGTGGTGCTAGCTATGCTACACTATGACTTCTTTGTGTCTGTGGTTTATTACAGTTTTCACTTTATACGTGAAGATGGTCAACAAAGGAGCAAGGCGCTCACTTCCTGGCTCGTGAAAATCGAGTTTGGCTGTGTGTTTAATTGCATTAACATACTAGCGACATATACCATGTAATGGGAACAGTATAGTGGGATGTTGTTAAGGGTTAATGTGTGCAGGCAGCTGATGCTCCAGTGGCACTGTGCATTATATCATTACTGGTGTATATTATGTTACATGGGTTGCATGATGCCAGGACCTGCTGACGTATGATGCGTCAAAGTTTTGGCAGCTGTAGCAGTAGTGGTGTTGGTGTGGGGTCACATTACAAAATATTATGTTGTATAAAGGACAGAAGCTGCTGCCTTTACCAAAACATTTGTTCTGTTTAGCTTACGGAAGGCAGAGCTTGTGTGGAAGGGTCTTTACTTGTTGCCTCATTTATGTCAAGTCCGGTAAGCTGGTTTATCTTAAAATATAAATGGTTTCCAAATTGCAGCATCTTGGTGCAGTCTCCATTTCAAATTGGCTGCAGTCTTGTTTTGGCGAAATGTGAAAGCAAACAAATCTGTGTAGAAAGCCTTTTTAAAAAGAGGCCTGTCTTGAGTCAGCCTCCTAACAAGTCGAGCACTACAGCGGGGCTCTGTGAGGGCTGACGGAGACGCACGCTCACAGAGTTGTTTGAGTGCATTCAGCTTCGTGTAAACACCGTGTTTGCTTGAGGTCAACTAATGTTGTGTGGAGCTATGTTAAGTGTGAGAGGAGCTGAAGGTCTGAGAGGATTTCCACCCACGACTGGATCAACAGAGGCAACATACAACTCACTGAATAAAATGGCAATTTTAAATGGCGATAAAAACTACGTATTTTATCTTTAGTAAATGTGATGCAGTGCGACTAGTTACAATGTGCGGTTTGTTCAAACAATAAAGTGACACATCTACCTTGTTTCTGTCTTGGACGACTAGAACTTTTCCACTGGATTCATCAACAACTGCGCCTGGACAAAACAAACCAAATCAATTACACATTCATTGAATTCTTTGTTTTTGCAAGCACCTAAGCTGGTTTCACATTTTCACTGAAATGCTGTGAGAACAATTTAAAAAGGGAGACCTGTTGGCAGTCTAGCTCAAAGTTAATTATTAGGTTGGACACAACATTAAACCTGCACCACGTGGAGGAAAAGTCCTGGAGCCGAGCCTCTGTCAGGCCTCAAACACAGCAGCTGCCCTGTACACTTTACATTTTCTAACATGCTGTTACAGATCAAACCAGTCCACAGACAAACCAGTCAAGTAAATGACTGTAATACTGCTGGGCTTGTTGCTCATTATCTAGAAAAGTTGGGATTTTTAGTTTAGTTTTAATTTTGGTATGGCCACTTCACAGTTTGAGAACTGGCTATACTAAAATCTAAACAAAGGAGTAATAACTTGTCAGCCACTTGACTTTTATCTAAAGCCCCACACATTACCGTTAGTGTATCCCAGTTTTAGAAGCCCCAGAGCACTGTTACTGTAAGGCTTCAATCTGCTTCAAAATGCGCTGACATGTGAGACTGCGTCCAAAGGCAAAGTGTTTAAAGCTGCTCCTATTGGCCACACTTGAAGGTGGGAGAAGGAAGGGATGGGTTGAATGATGGAGGATGTTTTGTGTCAATTGGGATATCTGTGGACACATTAGGTCGGGCTCTCTTCAAAGGGATTCATGGTGTTGGTCTTGGTTGTACAGTGAATTGAAAAAGAGAGACCTTGATACAAGGTCAAACCCCGCCTCCCTCCCACACATCCGCACAACATTAGAGCTAGAGTTTCCTACTCCTCAGTCGGAAAGGAGGCTCAGACACCATCTGACGAGCACTCTGAAGCATACAGAGGAATTATCCTTAAACTTGCAGTCAATTATTTTTTGGCCACTTAGCAAAAACAAGCTGTAAACAAAATTGACACCTGATCTCCTATGACAAACTTGTTTGCATACACCACATTCACACATCCAGCAGACTCAACACAACCTGAGCCCTCAGTCTAATATTCCCTCTCTTTTTAGCACAGTTTTCATTTCTCCATCTGATTCTTTAGCTGTTAAATCACTATGCTAGCCTAGCTAACTTGCACTGTATGTTGTCTGGCCGTGTGCACTGGGTTCTGTTGTAACTGGACTGGAAACAGACTGATGAGTCACACCAATATGTGATCCATTGGTTATATAAAAATATTGACTATAGCCGCTTTAACGTCAAAACTACATTTAGAGTTAGTATGGACAAACGTGTTACTTCTCAAAAAGTATGAACTACATGTGCATTTGTTCTTTAAAAAAGGTTCCACAATAGTAACGCATGGACTGTTAGATGCTTAAAAAAAAGCAGGTTGATTTCTGAAAATAGGGAGTTAAAATCAAATATATTAAAGGCAAAATTCTTTACTTTTTCATCCGAACAGAGTGACTCTGTACTTGTACTTGTGAATGATGTGGACATCCTGCTTCACCGTTTACAAATGTTCTCTCCTGTTTGAGCAGCAGGTAGTGACTAAGAGAGGCTATGCGTTGCTGCTGACAGCTCCGGAGGAGGAGGAGGAGGTGGATGAGGAGGAGGTGGGAGGACAGGCCACTTTCTTTTCCGGTTGCGCCGTCTGACCGGGACGGGCCTCCTTAAATGAATGTCACAGATGTGTAAAGAGGGATGGGTCGTCTTAAAGGCCTGACTTGGACTTCCATGTGGAAACTGATGTCATTCCCAATCCCTGTGCCATATGGCGCTTGACAGGAGGAGGCCTGGTTGCTGCTGAGGGAGGCTGTCATTATGTAGCCTTCAGTCTAGGAAACAAAATGCTCACAAGCAGCAGGAGGTGGAAAAAAAGGAGAATAGGAATTATGAGACAAAAGGCCCAGAAGTTATCATCAGAGGGGAATTGTGGGTTCTGTAGTAAAAAACTGTTAATCGCTTGAGGTCACAGTTTGCTTCAGAGCCAAAAAAAAAAAGTTTGATATCTTCTCTTAATTCATATTTCACATTTCGTTAGGCTTCTCCTACTACTCTTTGGCTTTAGAATAATTACAGGTTCACAGTAGTTCTACAGTACTGTGAGGTCACAGTGATGCTGACCGTGCAGTCCTGACTATCTTTTAGTTCATTTGACAAAATACGATTATTGAAAGGTTCAGTGAGTCACTACATGATGCCTTCAACCATGAAACACTGATTGGAGATTCACAATAACGATGCTAACTGTGTATATATATCATCCAACATTTATTTTCATTATTTTCCTCCTTGTTAAAGCTCTGTGGAGGGCAGCTTACTCAACCTTTAGTTGGGCGGATACAGGATACTCATTATAGCGTGGAAAGCTTCAGATGCTGCAGAACACACTTGTTCTTAGAATACGAGCATTAATTATAGTGTGTAATATTTTAATGACACAAAATCAAAGTTCTTAACCCTGTCCTGGGAGGTCAGAGGTCAAGAGCAGCTGGAAGGATTTCAGCATCATAATCAAGGAGGCTTCAGCAGGACAGATGTTGAGCCTAGTTTCCTTGGATGAAAAACAGCTTCTACTTACCCACTGTGAATTACAGGAAAATGACTGTATTTTACAACTTGAATCTTACTGAGCATAATAATCCCTGCCATTAAAGGTTGTGAACATGAGTGCTCCACTGGAAACAGATTTACAGGAAAGTCCAATGGAACCAAATAGCAAGTTTTAAATATGTTACACACCACTGGAGTGGATTAAAATCACATTTTGAGCTGTTTTCAACTATTAAATTAATCACAAGAAAAAAAGTCCCAAAAAAAATCTAATTTCAGCTTCTCAAATGAGAATATTCTCAGGTTTCTTTACTGTTGTCCTCTATAACACGGCAACTAAGGACATCACCTTTGGCTTTGGGAAACAATGATCAACATTTTTTGACCATTTTCTGACATTGTATAGATCAAAGAACTAATTGATTAATCAAGTAAATGACCCACACATTAATCAATGATGAAAATGTCTGCTATATTTGATGAAAGCATCAAAGACCCCCCAACAAGAGATGCAGACATCTGCTGTCTTTAACCACCAGACCACAACGATTCAACAGAACTTCCACTGAAAGCGCTCCATCATCGACCAGGAGTCAGCTGACCAGATCGAGGAGGACATTCTGATCGTCTTTGAACAGAGACCAGGGTTATGATCTTCCCCTACAAACAACCACCTGTGATTACATCACCAAAGGTCCATATTGGGCTGATGTGAAAGCTGAGCCAACTCTATCCGCTAAAGACGACCACTAGACTCCAGTAAAAGCTCCAGAAAAAGTTGTTTAGTGGAAGATTTCTTTTGGCAAACGGCTGTTTCCGAGGTGTAAGATGATATTTTTATGCTCAGTTCTCAAACAGGTTCTCTCTGCTTCACTCTGGACAGCATGACTTATTGTTTTGCTTGACTCTGCTTGACTCCTCAGTTACATCCCACATACCACTGTAAACAGAGCAGCGCAAGTCAACTGACTGAATCTGGACCTTTCTCTGCAGTTGATAGTTTTGAATGATACCTTGTAATTCTTAGTGTTTAATAGTCAGTGGACGTCACTTTGACCTTTGGGTTCAGGTTGGACACTTTAAAGGCCTTTTGGGGCTTACATTTCCTTTGCCTCACTGCACATCAGTGGTGGAATGTGACTAAGTACCTTTACTCAAGTATTTTCCGTTTTGTGCCACTTTATACTTCTACTCCTTCATGTCAGAGGCTTATATTGCACTTTTTCCTCCACTACATTTGTCTGACAGCTTTAGTTTCTTTTTCAGATTACAATATTTCATATTTCACACTCGTGTACTTCTTAAACTACAACAATGCTACACACATATAATGTAATCTAATATAATCTTCTAGAATATGAATTAAACAACCCAACAGTATATAAAGTAGTAGTAATATAATATATAATAACATACACATTAATTTAGCCGGAAACGTTAATCCAAAAACATCATATTCAATAGTAAAACACTGACAGGGAGCATTTGACAGCACACGGAGTACTTTCACTTTTGATATTTAAAATAAATTCAGCTAAGAATTAGGACTACATACTTTACTGTCTTGAATGCAGGGCCTTTACTTGTAGTAGAGTATTTTCACTGTGTGGTACTGACACTTTTAGTAAAGTAAAGCATCTGAATGCTTCTTCCACCACTGCTGCACATCATTATAAATCGGTTTCTATCCACTGCCTCTATAAGGATGGTAGGGAGTGCCATCTGAAACTCTAAACGTATAGCTGTATTGGCCACAACTACAACAAAAAGCTGGGAAACATAAAACAATTCTCTAATTATCATTATGTGCTGTTCTCTTTATCGAAGCAGTGAGCTGAGAGCACACAAGTATCCCATCATCTGACCGGCTGCATATTTCAGAATCCTGAGCTCAGTTTCATCAGTATTGGGCCATTCTGGAAACAACAGGGGATTTTCAGGACCCCATTCCCTCCTGAAGGATGCTCTGGACATGTTCTGACATGCTTCAAGTAGATCCACTCTTTGGTGCAAGGTATAAACGACACTCTGCCCTCTGCTGGACAACCAGAACCTTTGCACACTTCAGCTCAGCAACTCCTCCTGGTGCTGCTCTTCTCCCCGCACTCACAATGCTGGTGAGTGAATTTCCATTTACGCAAGTGAAATGGGCCAAATTTCAAAAACAGATAACAGGCCAACAGACAAACAACCTTATTGTTATTGTCGTTTTTGTGTGATAACCTAATGTAAGTCATAGCTTATTACTTCTGACTTACTGTTCCTTATGATTTTGAAGTAACAGCATGGATTTGTTCTTAAATACTCACACCTCCGTATCGACTGAAACCTCCCTGAAGCTTCTCTTATGTCTGCATCAGTCTCTCTAGTGTTATCATTTCCAAAATCTGATTTACATTATTATATTATATCATATTTAGCTCTTTGTGGCGCAGCCTGACAGCAGTTTTCAGCACTGCTCAACTTTACTTCCATCAGTGATGGAGCCTGTGGTCGGCTCGGTCAGTCAGCAGTAATGCAACACCAGACGAAGCTCTGCCAGCCACAGCTGCAAGTCTGTACTGTGGAGGGCAGGTTTAGGAAATGCCCGAGGTGCACATACCCATTAGATTTATGAAATAAGTTTATATGATCTGATAATCAAAATGTTCAAATGATACTGAACGCAAAGTGCAGTAAATATGGTACACGCCTATCTCGTTTAGTTCAGTCAAATACAAAAAACTTAAGTCAATTACATAATCATTCATAGATTTATACATGTATCTACTTACATGGCCTTGAATTGAGATGTTTTAGTGCTGCAACTAACAATTACTCATTATTGATTATCTGATTATTTTATCAATTAATAAAAAACTGGAAATGTCAGATGTCTTGATTTGTTCTATCAAAAGTTCAAAGCCCAAAGCCCTCAGTTTACAAACATATAAAATCGATCGACCTTTTTCACAGCAGCCATTTTGACATGAAATAGTAGGGTAAACACGGGTGTTATTAAAGATACTAATTAAGGTTCCATTCCATTTAGTGTAGCAGAGCCTTTCCAGTGAGCCAACATGCACACCAGCAGCACCCTGACTCTGTCTGACCTGAATGGACGGGTCAATATGGACAATGATCAATAATCAAAAGCTATACCTCATGAATGTTTGCACAAACACTTAAAATATCTTTCTAAACTGCCTCTCAAGATCTTCATCAGATCCTGATCTGATGAGAGGCTGTTGAAAGCTCAGTGGAAAAGCTAGGAAGTGGACCTTTAGGGACGGTCCTTCTGTCAAACACTATTTTCCAAAGTGAAAAAGGAACTTTCAGGATAAAGATCTCTACCTGCCACTCCGATTTGGTGAGTTGCAAACCCCGGCAGCCTGCTTTCCCCTTCTCCCAACCAGAGGGCCAGCACTGCATGGTCGTCTTTGGCGTGATGGAAGGTGAAGCCGTGAGCGGAGGCAGCGGCAGCACAGCGACTCAGAGTGATCGGCACTCGAAGCCACACTGCGACTTTCCCCTCCGCTTTCCACTGGAGCAAAGAATCTGCGGAGCATACAAGTTAAAGGTTCACAGGGATCTTTGGAAACTTTATTTTAAGGTTTCTCATTAAATCATAAACTGGAATCAGGAGTCAGGAAATTTGAAAGATTGCTTTTGATGCTTAATCTAATTTTGGAGACAAGATGAAAGCAACAATGACAGTATGGTGGAAGCAGAGTGGAAGGTTGCTGGTTGGAATCCCAGACTGACTGGAAGAATGCAGCTCGGAATAATAATGGTCTATTTAAAGCTGCAGCAACTTTTAGTCACATCAGCTGAAACTTTCACTATGTCCTGACAGTAGTACATGAGACACATAATGTGTTCTAGTGCTCCACCCGCTCTGAAAGAAAACCCATCAGAGCCAACAAAGATAGAAACATGCTTTGGTTTGGTGGCTTGAGGTTTGAGTCTCATTCTCACGACCTGTTGCTCCGATTATGCTGACTCCTTTAAGCCTAAAAGTGAGAATTTGCAGCCTTTTTCTCTTCATAAATTAAATATCTTTAGGTTTTAGGCTCTAGGACCTTGTGACGGGCATTTTCACTATTTATTATTCAAGAAAACTGACTGGCAGATTATTCAATGATGGAAATAATAGTTACTTGCTGATATAATAGCACCATTTTACCATTGAGCAAGACACTGGATGTATTGTTTTTCTGTATAGACTGGTTCCCCTCATCAGTATAATGGGATAAATACATTTCCTGTATCTAAGATTCAGTAACATACTTATATTATTAAATATTTTTCAAGCTAAATTCCACAATATTCCACCCCATGCTTCCATAGTCCCAAGTCATTTCAGTAGGCACACATTATGTGGATTCATGCTTGCCTGAATACATGGTGAGCACATGTTAAAACGTTTTCTGAGTCTAGGGCACAATTTGTTCTGGTCGGTGCTCGGTGGTTGAGGTCAGTGAGTTGTGAGTTGATGTGAAAACATGAGCTGTCCTCTTCCCGTCACACTCAGCACACTTGAGGACAACCAACCTTGCAGGAGGCTGCTGAATGAGCTTTCGCTGATGTCCGTCGGGAAACCGACGTGAGCCAGGTCCACTGTGACTCCACCGAACCGGTCCACTGTGACTCCACCGAACCGGTCCACTGTTCCTGTCACAGCACTTGACCCGTGCACGGTGCGGAGCTGAGCGCGAGCTGCACTGCACGCGACCGCACGGGCTGCTGAGCGCGCGGTGCTGACGTTACCTCTCAGCGACGACAAGAGTTTGACAGCAAAGACACGAGCAGCCATGTTGTTCCTGCGTTACTATTAACAACCGCTTAAAGGTGGCGTTCACTCTATTTACAGCCGGCATGTGCGTGTGGTGCGCTAGGGTTACGTAAAAGTTCACCCTGGAAGTTGCATAAATACCGTAATGCTCTGTATAAGGAGCTCGAGGTGTTGCCAGCCACCAAACAATATGGTCTCTCGTTGTACAATAACAAAGTGCATTCATACGTCTAATGGTTTCAGCTGGCAAACACTTCTAACGACCATTTGACCGTGTCACCGTTAGCTAAACAATAACTACGGTATGTTGTTAACTTCGGCAACAAATATGGCAATTCATCTAAAAAGGATATCATGTGCCGTAAAATCTCAGTCAGAGATGAGAGGCTTTACGGTAAAGGGAGGCGGGACTACACTTTAACCAGGAAGTTTACGACACCGCTCCGTGTTTACACATGTTTACACGTTCACGTGGAGAACGTTTTAGTTGTTTAAAATGTCTTCAAAGAAGAATAAAAGCAAATCGAAAAAAGCCAGTGAAGGAGATAGTTCACTGTCACTGAAGGAGGGCTCCAGTGACTCCTCCAACCTGCAGACATCCAGCCAGGACGGAGGAAGCTGCAAAAGTTCCAACAGCAACTCATTCACTGTCATCGATTTCATTGAAAAGGGTAAGAGTTTGCTGCATAAACACACATCGTGTAACGGGCTCTGACACGTACCACAGTGTGAAGATGGAGATCCGCCATGGTCCCTGTGGCCCTCAGTGATGCTGCTGTACCACTGCTGTACCGCCTGTACTGCTCCGTCTGCCGTCCACAGACACTTCTTCCTCATGGTTTTGTCTCTGTCCTCAAGCAGGTTGACTTTAAAGTGAGACACAAGCGGAGGCAATAGTGGCTTTCAGATTTGAGGCTGTTCGTGGGTGTTCATCCTTACTGGCTGACCGACAGATCCTGTGGATATCATTCAGTTACAGTCTTTTTAGGATGACATTCCCCCTTTGTGTTAAGAGGAACATGTACACCAAAAAGACCAACGTTAGAAGATATCTGCTTGATTTGGCTAATTCAGACCTCAGATTAACGTCAGCTGCGCTTTAATGTGTATTTTTGCTCAGAAAGAGGACTGTGTATTTTGTCCCACATCACTCAGACTGCATTAAGAAAGGATCTCTTAATGGCCTGTAGGAACAGGAGCAGGGACCCCTTTTCGATCAAAGTGATGACCCCTGAATAAGTGACATATTATATGGATATTTCTTTTATATTCAGTACATGACAATAACAGTACAGAACATCTGACAAACACACTGCAGATAATAAAACAGGTCATTTGGATGAATTTTGAGCAGATAAATAAATGAAATGCTGAGATATAGGCCAGTACTTTTTAAGTTTTCTTACACCCCTTAAAATCAAGAAGTCCTCATGACCCCCCTGTGAAGCTCTGGCCACCCTTATTAAAATTGTCACATGGTTTGACTTGAAAAAAAAGCCGTCCAGCTTGCCAGCATACACTCTTATATTGATTGTCTAGTTATTTTGAACAAGGGATGGAGCCACATCTTTCCAGTCATTCCAAAATCTGAAGCCTCTCACAACGGCTGAACGAAGAAAAAAAAAGTGTGTACCGGATGTAGAAATTGTATAGATTCCAAAATACAGGACAGGGAGACGAGGATCTGTTTAATATTGTGTATCACAATTATTTAGTCCAAGATAATCGTAACATGACATTTGATACCTAAGGACATTTGTGAAATCTGGATGTGGGACTTTTATTGCACTAATTGTTACCACTTTTTGACCCTAACATCATGTTTTTGGATACATTTTCTCACAGCTGATGACAAAACGCCCAGAAGTTGCCGATCAACTTTAGCCCAACTGGGCCTCAATTCCATGAAGTCAGCCGGCGTTTGCATCGGGAGACCGGTCCTACTGACGAGTCCCTCAGGACAGCAGGAGGTGTCCTTTCCTCTTCTCTCTTCATCACTGTGATCAGATATTGTGTTGTACTGTGATTGTTAAAGCTCCACTGACTGATGTATATTAAATGTTGTTTTGTGTCTCAGGATGCCACCTTCGTTTTTGTCTGTTTCTGTCTCACAGGTGTGTTTAGGATGGCCGGTCGCCACATTTCCTGGTGGAAAAGTTGGTCTTCCGAAATGTTCTCAGAATAACCTCAGAGTGAAGTCAGGGGACGAGGTGACGCTGCTCCCGCTAACAGGTCCTGTGGTTCAGGCCGAGGAGGTGGTTCTCTCTAACAGGTGACGTTTAGCCAGAAGCCTACAGTACACATAAGACATTTTGAATCCTAATACAACTAGCCTTTGGAGTTGTATGTCATTAATCATTGTAATAGGCAGTGGTGGAATCTAACAAAGTACATTTACTAAAGTACAAATGGATGTACTTGTACTTTACCTGTCTTTTCTTCTACTCCTCTACATTTCAGTGTAAATATATTGTACTTTCTACTCCACTACAATTATTTTACTTCATATAAAATATCATGCTTATTTGTCTTGATTTCTTTTTTTACTTTTCTACATTGAGTACTTACCCCTTTAATACTGATATAATATATAATAAGTATATTTTCCTGATTGTATTGCCCTAATTTTACTGAAGTAACATTTTCAATACAGGACTTTTACTTGTATTTTTTCAGTGTGGTATAAGTACTTTTACTTAAGTAAACGAGTACTTCCTTCACCATTGGTAATAATATATTCAGTATCTCAGGTAAAGGCTGCCATCTGCTGGTGGCACCTCGCAACTGCAGTTCAAATACCAGAATATTGATTATCAATAAATTATATTAGTCTAGATTTTATTTGACCACATTAAGCATTTATTTGTAATAATCTTTATCTACAGTGTTTATCTTTTGTTATTTAACTTGTTATGGTATATGTATTGTTACTTTATCAAATGTATCTGATCCTTTTATCTAAGTCTTTATAAGTCTGTGTAATATGTTTTGGAACTTGTGTTTGTTATCTATGTGGAGCGCTTGTAAACTTTAGTGGTTAAATAAACTTATATATCTATACATATGGGTTATGAGTTAAAAACCTAACAAAATGTGTGTAGTTGATTCTCACATACATATAACTTTCATTCAGGTCAAAAGATGACACACTTGAGACAGATGAGTTCAAGAACTTCTTTCTGAGGTCTCTGGGTAAGTCAGTCACTTCCTCTCACTGTTACAAGTGTATATGCACATCAGTAGAAAGCACTTTCAGAGTAAAGGTGGGAATATTGGAGAATCCTAATACTTGCAAAGTTTAACATAACTGTCAGTTTCCTGTTCGGAAAGCTGTCTCAGCCTACACAAACATTTGACCGTGATGAAAAATGGTAATATGCAACGTAAAACTACAGAAAAAAGACAGACTTGCTAAATTACAACCGCTCAGACTCACTACCACCTATTACCACACTGGTCAAGGACACTCCCTTATGTGACATCATTTAAATTTGCATTCTATAAAGCCTACTTTTTCCTCTGAATTTCTGCCCCTATGTCTTTTAAAACATTGAAAATCCTGAATCAACTTTTCAAATGTCCATTTCCAAGAAACATTTATAGTATAAATGTAGTTACATTCAACCTTTAAGTTGTACTTTAAGCTAACCGGTCATGATGAAGGTCACTTTGTGTGAGAAGAGTTTGAGAGTGTTAAATGGTTAAATAGTTAAATGTTTGTAGCAAAAACAGAAGTTGATGTGGGTTGTGAATTGATGATAATAATATGCAGTTATTTAAGATTTGATATGAGCAGTACGTGCTGTTGGTTTGCATTGTACTGTTCTATAAATGTCAGAGAGGTCTTGTTTTCTTTTCTTTCTTGCTGTTTGGCAAATAATCCTACTGTGTCCTGGTTTTGCATATTGCTCTCCCTGTTGCTCCCTCTCTGCCCTGTTTTCCTTTGGTGGAATAACTCTACTGGTTTGTGTGTCTTGTGCCAGTTGGGAACATCATTTTGCCAGGAAATGTCATCTCCCTGACTTACTTTGGCCGGTCATGCAGTCTCCGGGTCGAGACCATAAGAGGGGAGGACGGTGTCACCCTCCACAGACCAGCCCCACCTCCAGGAGCGGGCCCTGACGTGGAGTCCTCCGTGATGAGCTCCGTGCTGGACTCCACGTCCACTGACCTCTCATTGCAGCTCAGCTTGCTCACTGTGGATGACAATACTGACGGGACACCGAGAACGCCTGGAGAGCCCGGGCCTGCCGCCAGCACGCCACGCCGACCAACCAACCTCCCTTCTCTCTCCTCGCCCGCTGCGCCCTGCACACCTTCCTACAACTCCCAGAATCCTCCTGCAGGGTCAGTGAAGGATGCTGTCAGTCTGGAAAGTTCACTCTGCTCAGAGCAGGCAGAGACAATCCCCACAGCTCCCCCTGGTGGTGCGCAGAGCACTGACACCTTCTACTGCCTCTCCTGCTCCACTACAGTCAGTTTCAGAGAGAGAGCAGGGCAGGAGGATTCAGATGCAGAAGCTAAAAGGTCAAAGGTCACATACAGCATGATTGGCGGGCTCAGCAGCCAGTTGGATGTCATCAGAGAGACCATTGAGCTTCCTCTGAAACACCCCGAATTGTTCTCCAATTATGGTAGGTCAGACAGTACAGTGTCATTCCACATGCATGGATTAGACATGCATGATTATTTTGCAAACTAGGACTCAATTTAACCTTAAAATTTAAAGATCTAATTGCTTTTCTATGTAGGGATCCCACCTCCCCGAGGAGTTCTTCTTTATGGTCCCCCGGGCACGGGAAAGACTATGATTGGACGAGCCATAGCCAATGAAGTTGGAGCTCACATGACTGTGATCAACGGCCCAGAGATCATGAGCAAGTACGGTTATATCACATCGCCTTTCTATCACAGTACAACATATAGGAGAGATTTAACTCTGGACTACAGTATTATGATGCACACCACCCTGCACATGATCTGAAGTCCTAATTAAATAATAGAGTCGTTTACTAAAAGATGTGTTATTTTATGTCTTTGCAGATTCTATGGCGAAACAGAAGCAAGACTAAGGCAGATTTTCATTGAAGCGTCTCAAAGGTGAACTTTTGAATGAATCCAGCTGAGCATAAATTACCATCATCATCACTGTCCTTTTTTCTGTGTATGCGAGAAACACAGAATGTTTTATTTTTTAAAACTAGCAGTACAAACAGATAGACAGTGCAGTACACAAATGATAATAAAGTAAAACTGATGTGTTTACAGTCTGAAATCAAACATCAAGTGCATTGATTGATTGCATTTTTGAATAAAATCCTAAAAATAGTGCGAGATGAGATGAGATGTGTGTGATTCACAGTACGTCATAACCACGCTTCCACATTTTCACGTGATTTACAGACGACCTGCAATCATCTTTATTGATGAGCTGGATGCTTTGTGCCCAAAGCGAGAGGGGGCGCAGAATGAGGTGGAGAAACGAGTTGTTGCCTCTCTCCTGACTCTGATGGATGGGATTGGTTCAGTAAGTGTCCTTTTTTTATCCATCTACCATAATAACAGATGTTGATTCTTAGGTTAAAAAAAGACCAAAACATCAGGGATGTTACCTGTTACTCTATGCCCCCAAAGCTAACTTTTTTTTATAATGTCTTACGTCTGTTTTTGTATGATTTTTTTTCTTCTTCTCCTGAACTTGCACCTCCACTGGTCTGGTGAAGATGATCTTTACAGTAGGGCTGCAGCTAAAACGTGTTTACATTGTCCACAAATCTACCAATTAGTTTCACGATTAACTATAAAATTCTATCAAATAGTGAAAAATCTCAAGTTCCCAAAACTTGCAAAGGGCCCAGATTCTGGGCTGTTGCAGTAAGGACTCAGACTTGGTACATTTTTAGCATACACATGTTTTGGGAATACTGCTCTCTGCAGCAGAACGTGGCTCTGACAGGAAACGTCCTCATTGAAAGTGCAGACTGTCATGCAGAAACCATCTCTGCATGCTGGACGCCCTTCAGACACTGTGGGTTGTATCTCTGGGGTGTTGTTTATCCTCTGAGCGCTCTGTCAGCGCCTGATGAGAAAAAAGATGATCCCCCCCACACACACACAACCAATGGGAGCCTGGGAAACAAATCACATAAGATTGCCATGGACTGCCAATTTGCCATAACTTTATCAGCAAAGTACATCTCCATGTGCCCGGGCTGAAAGGAGCCCTCATTTGGATTGGTAATACTACACAGATACATCAACCCGCTGCCCGCTCCCCGTTCCTGTCTGTTTTCCAGACCAGATGATCTTAGGTCATCGGCACTGATTGGTTTGTGGAATGTGGAGAAAGCACTTCCTGCTCGGCATTCTTGCTTGCACTATAATTTATTTGTGTTTCCCTGCGGTATCGAAAGGTGGAAAAAGAAATTTCTAATCTTGCAGGCAGACCACCCCGAGAAACACAGGGCTGACACGAGTTTAGCATCACACCGGGGTCAAATATTCTCCGAGGCTTTGGTTATGAAAACCAACTGGATAGAATTACAAATGCACGGTTGTGAAGTTAAACACAAGGCTGTTTTACTTAGCTCCCAGAGAGTTGATATTGATGACTCAAAGCAACAATTTGCATGTAATTCCTAGTTTATATCTTAGCCAGCACAGCAGATTTGGCAGTGGTAGTTTGAAATGTACCAGTCCATATCCATCATCTGTTATTTTTACATTTCTGATAGTTTAGAAAAGCAGGCCCCAGAGCTACCAAAGCCGTGTGAGTGGACAAACACAACTCGACTTCAATAGTTTTCACTGAAAACACTTAGTAACACTGGAGAATTCACTGTGTTGCTTGGAATAACATTAGCGCTACTGAAATATTCACATGTATGTTGACTTCTTTCTGAAAATGTATAAATTTAGGGGCGTCCTGGTGGCCTAGTGGTTAAGACGCATACCATATAACCACAACATTCCCACTGTGATTGCAGACCCGGACCTTAGTTGCACGTTGTACCCCACTCTCGCTTCTCATATATATTATTTATTGTCAGTACCCTCTGTCACTGTCTGACCAGATCAAAAATATAATTATTTATGAAAATGTATAATAATACAATAATGCATTTTGTAGGACAGATGTCCCTCTCTCTAACCCCAACCAAGGCAAAATGATTTGGCTTAATGTCTTCTGTGAAGTCCCATATTTATGCCTTATGAAGTAACCCATGGAAGACTTAGGAAAACAGCCAGACTGCTGCAAAACTATAGAGAAAAAACAATTTGCACATTATTTTATATAGTATACTGTATAATAATCCGGTATCTATGCTTATTCAAAGCAACACAATGACATAACACTGCATAAATCCACGATTACTAGGACAAGACTGACCTCCGCTCTTTTCTCCCTCCTTTCAGGAGGATCACTCAGGTCAGCTATTGGTCCTTGGGGCCACAAACCGGCCCCATGCCCTCGACCCCGCCCTGCGGCGACCAGGGCGCTTTGACAAGGAGTTGGAGGTGCGTACTACCATACACACTGTAGCTTGATCCTCTGTTATAGCTCATAAGCAGCCACTGTTTGCTTATTGTGAATCAGTAAAAATGATTAATCTAGTATCAAAGAACAAGTATCAAGGATATTGATAAAGATCACACTGCTGAAAATATCTACACAGTTACTTGAATCTGTTTGGGGTTCCTCAGGGTTCCTTCCTGGGTTCTGCCAGAATTACTTTTGGTATAAATTAAAGTTTCTGTTGTCCAATCTTTTGTTCTGTTGATATCCTGATGGCAGGTGGGAGTCCCTAGTGCTTCCGAGCGTGCAGATATTTTGCAGAAGCAGCTGAGTTTCGTACCATGCAGAGCCACCACAGAAGAGCTGACGCAGCTGGCCGACGCTGCTCATGGATACGTTGGAGCTGACCTCGCAGCTGTTTGCAAAGAAGCAGGCGAGTACACATTCTCCCACTGTCATGTAGAAAGTCAAAATGCTTTGGAATTAAAAAAACAACAACATGTTTCCTAGTTGTGGGAACCTGATTTCATCCAAAATTATTTGGATGGTGAGGGTGGGTACCATGTGCTCATGACTGTCTGTGAATGTGGCCAGCAGCGTTTTTTCACATCTTCCCCTTCTCGTATTCTCTTCTGGGCTACATGATGTACAAAGTATCCCAACAAGGCAAAAAAGTAACTTAATCAGGTGCAAATTTTAGTTTAATAAACTTAATAGACTAAAAAATTGTTCCCAGCTATAGGTTGTGACAAAGTTATAAATCTGTATCATAAAAGAGCCACTGAAACCAAGAACATCCACAGCTACTCAGACCAGTTGGGCTGCTCTCTATTTTGATTTCTTCTTTGCACTTCCAGAAACCGACATAATTTGGAAAACCAAAACAAAGCATGGCAGCCAGCCCAAAACTGCTCACCATCTTTTAGCAGTTTGGTTTGCCTCGTGGGCTCAGGCATCTGATCAACAAACAAATAGCATATGAGCAACAGTTTGTTATTGAGCTTTAGGCATGTTTGACCCCACCTCTTCTTGTAATACTTTGTCCAAACCACAATTCCTAGTGACTTATTTCTCCCTTTATTAGTTTTTAACCATATTTTTGTTGTTTTCTTGGGGTGTCTTACATGCCTGCAGCCCCTTTGAACACAGAGGGTCAACCAACCTTTGATATTTGCCAAGAGGAAGTTGGGAGTTTCTGTGGTATTCAAATCCCAGTGAGAGAAACCACTGAAACCACCACTTGTTGTGAAATTCCTTTGCCCCCTCACCCCTGATCCCACAAACCAATCCACCTCACATCCCGAGTACAAGCATATTGGCTTATACTCAGCATGTGTGTATCTAAATGTGCTTGATTGTGTGTGTGTGTGTGTGTGTGATTGTACATGCACATGCACATTTGTTTTTCTGTGTGTGACCCCCATATGCCTCCTGGGTGGTCCCAGCGCCTGGGGTACGTGGTGTATTGCATTTCCAGCTGAGGAGGGAGCCAGGGCTGCTGTGCGGAAGCACTCCGGCGAAGAGCGTGATTTACTGTCCGCAGAGGGCCGGACGTGACTGGCAGTGTTTTCTGAAAAACCTCCTCACGCCCCAGAGGGAGACAACAACCTCCCCAACCCCGTTTGACTGCTAGCTTCCCCCGCATTCTCCAAACCCAAATCACTAGACAAACACAGGCAAGTATGCCACAGTAGAATGAACAGATTCAGAATGCATTTAATGCTTCCTTCTGTCTTTATTACTTTCTGTTGGCTCATTCGGTGTTTAAATAAAGTAAAAATAAAACTCAAACTGAGGAGAAATAGATAATAAATGCAGTACAGCTATAAAGGCTTAGAAGTTGTGTGTCCAATCTTGTGGCATCCACATGTAATTCCATTAGAGGAAGTCTGGTTTCCTAAATGCTTCATAAATGCTTGCTAGCAGTCCAACATTTACCTTTTTTATCTTAGACATTTAGCTATCTTAGCTATATCTAGTCTTTAGCCCTCATTCATATAAATTAATAACAAATATCTATCACTAAACAAGTTGACGAGACATCTGGACAACAGTTTAGGAGCAGTCTAATAATGTCTCTCTGCCCATCAGTCTCATTAAGAGTATCTTAAACGTGTATACGGTGACCAGACGTCCCAGTTTTCAACACTCGCTACCAGAGAGTCCCCGGTCTTCGCCACAATTAAAAATATTCTCGTTTTCAACACTTACATAGATGTTTATCATGTTCTGTCCCACTAATTATTACCTAACCTAATGTAACAACATAATCTGAATTGAGCACATATTTGTCTATGTGTCAATCAGTCAATGTGTCTTTGTTAAGGTTGTCACTAGCCTATGAGTCATGACACTGGCTCTTTCTGACAGAATCTGTCAGTGTGCTGATGGATAGCTGTCATACCTAAGAGAAGAGAAAGTCGGTCTTTTCTAAAGCGCTACAGGATGCTTTCTCCTTCGTAAGGTATGCGTGTTCGTGGCAATCCATGATGTTGAAAGGTGCGGTCAGTTGGTATGCTAAGCGCTGAAATAATTGTCCACCATCTTGATGAAAATGTATATGGATGCATAAGCACATATTTGCACATGCATGAATGATCAAGGTCCCAGTTTGAGGGTTTGAAAATATGAGCATCCTTAACGTAGGATTTGTATAACTAAACTGATGTGTTTGCATCCTCTGTGATCTCCAGGTAGTTAGTAACTTTGACTTTCTGCTGTTTGGTACTGAACCAAGTAGTGTGCAGTGGGTTTTTAGAGCTTTTATTTGGAGACTCAGCCTTGGTACAGCTCTACCTGTTGAGCTGTTTTTAGAGCTATTTTTGCCTAAAACAACACTGATGAGAACAGTGTGAGTGAATCAAAACATTCAAGTTGTGTGTTTTAAAACCAAAACAGTGAGCTGTAAGATGCTGAAATGAACTTAAGTGTTGCGTGATAATTGTAACACTATAAGCGACCCCTTTCACATACACGTAATGATTTTATCCATTGCTGATTTGCTGCAGTGTGTAAATCAGAGATAAAAATGTGTACGTAGAGCTTTGACACTTTGTTACTAACTGCCTATTTGTGTGCGTTTGTGTGAGTTTGACTTGTGGGTAAGGATCCACCCTCACCAAGTCTCCATACCGCCACACATTGCTTGGATCAACTGGCACATATACAACCACACAACACACACACACACACACACACGAACACACCAACAAGTTGATATCTGTTTTTTCCTCCTTTGCTTTCATTGCAAGGAACAAAAGCTAAAAAGAGGCACAAAAACACATCAAGTAGGAACTGCAGTTGTTTCCTTCTGCTCCTCAGGTAACAATGAGCTGCTGGGGGAACGTATGCTCCGACACACGGCTTCCTGAATAATAAAGTGGGGGGACAATATTGCGACGGCTGCGACACGCCAGGGTCATGCACAAGATCCCCACCTTGCACAGCTGCAGAGAAGCATGCACGCATACACACTTTCAACTTCGATTTTAGATGCACGCACACACAAGAAGCACGCTGCGGCAGGGGTTTCACATCCTGCCTTCAGTACAATACCAACCTGCTTATAGATCTGAGAGTACGACTGCTTGAATCAATTCTTCATCTCTGAGGAAAAGCAGAGGGAAGGACAGCAAGGTCCAGTGACTGTGTGAAGTGTGTGCCTGTGTGAGCATGTTTGTGTGTGCATAAGAATTGATGGAAATCTTGATGTCATTAGGGAAGTTTTTGTTTGTCCAGTTTGAGTTGTACCGAGCCCCAGAAACAACTTCTTGACGACAGATGTGTTATATAATCAGCCTTTAATAACAGTTGATCACGGATCAGCCAGTTTTGAATGTAACGTAATGCAAGAGCATGCTCATACCAGATCTATTGAAGTCTGTTTCATCGAGGTCACCTCAGATCCCTTTTAAGCCTCCACTGAGCCCACAAATTACAATGAAAATCTGTGCTTTACATCATATGCACTGACCGAGGGGATCCAGGTTGAACACTGTGATCCTTTAATGAAAGGTAGGTATTTTAAACCTGGAGACAAAAAACAGGAATAGATCTCAGTAAGAAGGCACCATCATCTCATACATTTAGTTTGCAGTAACCAGTATACCATTGCAGAATAAAAGGGCACAACATAGATGACGTAGTCAAAAGAGCCAGTCAGACCTCCGATGGTAGGAAAAAACTATGTTTCATATGTTTGTTTCATGTATTAATTTGAGGAAGGTCTCCTCATCGCTCCACACAAATCCAATCTGTCCAATGCACATTTTCTTTCTATTGATACACAAACCTTTTCAACATTAAGTATCTAAAATTATTATCAGAAATCCCTTAACAGTAATACATCTGTAATGGTGCCAAATGAATTAAAGCCCTTGGCGTTCAGATGCTGTTTGCTTCCTGTAGATCAGTGTGACCCCTAATTATCGGTTGCATGTCTATGCATTGTGAGAAGTTTACTCAAAGAGTGATTTTGCCCATATATTGTTCCATTAGAGTATAAAAGAGCCTAAAGATGTAAAGTTATACAGGATTTCAGAAAAAAGAAGCAAAGATTAGTTAGATCTGAAATATAAACTAACTGTATTGATTTTATTTTTTCTTATTTCCCATGGGGAAATCCTTTCATGACCCACTGGGTTCATACGGTGACCCCTGGTCATGGGCTCTCCGACCCCCAGGCTGGGAACCATTGACCAAGAACAGTGGTTCCCAACCTTTTTGTCTTGCTTTTTGTCTTGCTTCTTCTCCAAAGCGAAGCAATGCCACAGCTATTCTTTCTCATCTTGTTTCATTTTTACAGTTCTTAGAGTCTCAGTCTCTCCAGTATTTCACAAGATATATATAAAGAGTCAAAAAAATACATGTGTGGCAGAAGAGTTTGTTCTTCTAAACTGTTTTGACAATCATCTTGCGAGCACATGGAGGTCTCCAACCAATGGATTGGAAAGCACTGCTCTAGATGACCTCAGAATTTAAGTCATTTTTTGATGGTCTGATAATGTTTGATGAAGGGAATAGTGTTTGAACAAAAGTTAAGTACAAGCTGAATCACAGTACAGGTATCTCAAAACTTTATTCAGAGTGAATAATTACATTCCATCACTGTTTCGCTGCTCGTTGCTGCAGGAAGAAAGGTCAGACCCTCTCCAGCTGAACTGTAGTAACCCGAAATGAGGACCTCTAGTGGGTAAACATTATATTGCTGGGGAGGTAAACAGCCCAATTCAAGCTGCAAGCAGTGAATGTAATGTCAGCAGGGAGGGCAGATACCCTGACCTCCATTCAGATACACTGATCTGAATTCTACTAGCACAGTGAAACGGATAAAAAACGTGCATGGCTTAGTCAGCTTCGCTTTAGAGAGATTTTGTGTGTAAGTGTCGTTATCTTTCTAACTTTTGAATCCATAACCCTGTCAGGATTTTTACA